ACTTAGTGCTAAGCTCTAAGCTAAGAGCTCATTTCCCAACCTGGGGGGACAAATTTAGTCGTCTTCTCTCCTCTGGAGTTGACTTGGCACTGCTATCTAGTACTGGTCTAGCCACAGAGAGACCTAATTGCCATGAATGTCCTCCAAAATTGTATTCAGCCAAAGCACCCAGTGGTCAAAGTAGGGCTTACCATTTAACAGCCAGATCAAGATTCCTTTCAAGCTGCAGTTTATATCTCTAGCAATAACACCTGTCCAATCCTTCTCACTTCCCTCCATTCACATGACCACTACCAGAGCCAAAACCAGGGCAGAATGACCAAGACTTTGACCAGGTGCTTCCATTTCATTTCAGGTCAACACACATTTATTAAGCACCCACTATATGCCAGGCATTGTGTTTAGGTGCTAGAGAAACAAAGAAAAAAGCTGAAATAATCTCTACCCAAGGGGCTTACAATCTACATGGAAAAATATGTCCACAGAAGTTAAATATATACACAAAAGTCATTTTTTAGGAGGCAAGGTATTAGCAACTGGGATGTGGGGGTGAGAATAGGAGAGGCTTCTCATAGGAGATAGCAATGGAACTACGCTTTGAAAGAAACTAAGGATTCTAAGAGGTGGGGGTGAGAAGAGAGTGTATTCTTGGAATGTGCAGAGGCACAATGGGAGATAAAACAGAGGTATGGGAGATGACAAGCAGCTAGGACATTTAGATGGAACATTGAGTTCATAAAGGAGAATAATATGTAATAAGCCTGGAAGGTGCCAGATTGATAAGAGCTTTTAAAGTCAAACAGAAGAGTTTGCATTTGATCCTATGGAAAGAGGGAGCTACCAGGGTTTCTTAAGCAGGGGAGACATGGCCAGACCTGTGTGCTTTGGGAATAACAGCCTGGCAGTCTCATGGAGAGGATGTCGTGGAGGGGAGAGATGAGATGAACAATTAGGTTATTGCAACTCCCTCACCAATGTCCTGACTGCCAAATACCAGAGACTGTGCCCTGGAGGAACTTCTGCCCTGTTTCCCCTTCCCCAAGCTTGGAGGAGCCCTCTTGCTTTCTATTCTCTTTAATTTTGGAATGATGAACCGTGATCAAATAAACTCTGCCATCGTTCCTGGATAGGGTATGTCAATCTACTCCCCTGTGGCCCTGTTTACCATCCCAGTTACTTTCAGATGCATGGACCGATGTGTCTTCCCCCAGGCTATTGTTCTCTTATCCCCTTCCCCCCTCCCCATTAAAATATAATTTCTTTAAGGGCAGGGACTATATTTTCTTTTTTTAATCTTTCTTTTTTCTTTTTTGTTATTTATATTCTCAGTGATTAGGGGCAGCTAGATGGCACAGGGGATAGAGTGCTAGGCCTGGAGTTAAGAAGACTCATCTTCCTGAACTCAAATCTGTCTCAGACACTAGCTATGTGACCCTGGGCAAGTCACTTCATCCTATTTGCCTCAGTTCCTCATCTGTAAAATGAACTGGAGAAGGAAATGGCAAACCATTCCAGTATCTTTGCCAAGAAAACCCAAATGAGGTCACAAAGAGTCGGAAATGATTGAAACTGAAAAACAACAACATCCTCAGTGCCTGGCAACTAGAAGTGCTTTGTTGTCATCGTCATCGTTGTTGCTGAGTCATTTCAGGCATGTCTGATTGTGACCCCATTTTGGTAGGTTCTTAATAAATGTATGCTGAATGACTGGTTGATGGGCCTCCAGGAAGTCAGGTAAGGTCATTGCATTGGATGGAGATATCTTGAAAATTAGTCTGAAACACGAATGTCAGTACAACTGTGAATAGATCCAATGGTGCAGAAAAATAATTTATAATTATACTGGAAATATTACTAATATCCTTTGACCTAGAAATATTAATATGAGGCATAAAGCACCAATGAGGTCAAAGGTAGAGGAAAAGTTCCCGTACATACAAAAATATTTGTAGTAGTACTTTTTGTGGTAGCAAAGAGCAAACTTTGGAGGAAATTGGGTTTCTATCAGTTGGGTGAATGCCTAAACAAATTGTAGTATGGTAATGTGACAGAATAGTATGGAGGTAGTTCAGTCCCTCATCATCACTTAACAGGACTATAAATTAATGAATGAAAAAAGCATTTATTTAACACTTATTAAAGCACTTCTGGGGCAGCTAGGTGGCGCCATAGTGCACAGAGTGCCAGACCCTGGAGTCAGGAAGGCTCATCTTTCTGAGTTCAGATCTGGCCTCAGATACTTCCTAGCTGTGTGACCCTGGACAGGTCACTTAACCTATTTGCCTCACTTTTTTCATCTACAAAATGAAGGAAATGGTAAATCGCTCCAGTATCTTTGCAAGAAACCCCAGATGGGGTCACGAAGAGTTGGACATGACGAAAACAACTGAATAACAACAAGAAGTTAAATATAGTGTAGGTTAGATAGGGAAGGCTTTAGTAATTGGGAGAATCAGCAAAAACTTCATTTAGAAAGTAGTCCATGAGGTCTTTTGGAAGAAGAGAGGGATTCTAAGATGCAGAGTTGAGGAAGGGTTGCATTCCAGGCATGGTGGACAACCAGAGCAAATGGAGATAGGCGATAGAGTGCTTTGTATATGAGGAACTGGGGTGTATGGAATGTTCAAGGAGCACTAGCATCTCTGGTGTAAGGGCTTGCCAAGCCCTTTTCAGGGCTGCTCATCCACCTTTGGTGTCCACCTGCCACTCTTGTCTCACCCATGGCTCCAAAAAACTATCATTCGCAGTGGCTACACCCTGGGAAAACTGTCTCAGCAGACAAGCTAAACCAGGTTGATGCTAACTGACAGACCTCAAATCCATCCGTGAGTTAGGGGGATGTCTACCCCCTAAGATTTCCCTAGGTAGAATGGATGGATGAGAACAATTTGTTCCAACAGCCATGAAGGCCTCTGAGGCAAGCATTGTAGAGCACATCAAAGACCACAAGGTCGTACACTGTATCCCGGGCCATCTCAGTTGTCTTGACTTTTGTTTTGCCCTGGACTTTGATGACTCAGGAAGAGAGAGTGAGGAAGGACAAACAACAACAATGTAAGGAACAAAGAGAAGTCAGTTTGGTTGAATCACAAAGTGTGGGAGGGAGAGTGAGATACACTGAGCTTGGAAAAACAGGTGGGAGGCCAGATTATAAAGGACTTTAAAAGCTAAATAGAGCAGTTTATATTTGATACTAAAGACAACAGGCAACCATTGAAGTTTACTGAGTAGGGGAATGATATGATCAGGCCTATGCTTATGGAAAATCACTTTGGCAGCTATACAGTGCTGAGACTTGAAACAGGGAGACTAGAAGACCATTGCAATAATCTAGGTAAGAGGTGATGAGAATCTGATCTAAGTTGGTGGCTAGGGAATAAGGAAAAAGTGGAAATTTTAGATTTGAAAAATTTTAGAAATATTGTAGAAGCAGGTGGGAAGAGGCATCTGAGTTTTGGACTGGGGTGGGGCCCTCTTGCAAAATGATCCTGTTCTTTCAGTTCAACAGTCTTCCTCCGACTGAGAAATTTTAAGCTCTCCAAAGGACAATAGGTGACCAAAACTTTGAGGGTGCCAGGAGAATTGAACCAAAATGAAAAGGAGGTGGGTATCCGAGGAAAAGGTGAAAGACTAAGCAAAACTACCTGAAAGAGACTTAAAGACAGCAGGGAATCCTAAAACCCAACCTAGGATGAGACAGGAAGCGGACAAGTGCTTGACTCTTTGGTGTCTAACATTTTGGTACAGAGGATAGAGCATTTGGTCTGGAGTCTGGAAGACCTGAGTTTAAATCCAACCTCAGACATTTACTAGCTGTGTGATTCTGGACAAGTCACTTGAGCTTTGTCTACATTGGTTTCTTCATCTTTAAAGTGGGAATCATAATAGTACTTCCCTCCGAGGACTGTTGTAAGGGTCAATTGAGATAATATTTGTAAAAGGCTTTGCCAACCTTAAAGTGCTATGCTGATGCTAATGATGATTATGATAAAACTTTAGATGGCACAAAGCTAAGAAGAATAGCTCTCATGCTGAATGACACAGTCATAATTTCAAAAGACTTTTACAGAATAAAATATTTAGCAAAATCTAATAAAATGAAATCTAGTGGGATATGACACTCATGACCCTGGCCTCCTTACCTTTGGATTGTGAGCCTTGAGTACAGCCTTCTTTAAGTCTACAGCAAGATGATTTGTCACCGTATTAATTATCCAGCCAGGGAATGCAGTATCTGAGTTCTCCAACAAGTGATGCTTTTCCTGAGCCATTAGGCCAGTTGCTTTGTCAATTTCTCTCTGGTGCATAAGCAGGAAAGAACTTTTCTAAGAGGGTGTGGAATCCCTATTAGCCACCAGATAGCACTTGGCCTACAAATGCCTAGCTTTTTCTCCCCCTGCCAAGCTCTTGCTTCCCTGCAATGCTAAACAGTCTGGATTAACCCTCAATTGCTAGGTCCAAAATTAACATAATTTAATATTGCTCAAATAATAAGCTATAACTTATGCATATGTATCTAACTCATAAGCCCCTATCCCATCTGAACCCTCTTCTTCACAGGCCTCTGCATCCCCCAGATTCAAAAACTAAGCAAACTTAGAATGTTGTAATAATATAACTTACTGTATATAAAACAAAATTAAAAGGAAATAATCAAGCAATTCTGTAGAGAGGCTTCTGCCTTTCTCTCTTTCCTCTTCTCCCTCTCTCTTTTTTCCCCTCTTCTTTGTCTATCTTCTGTCTCTGTCTCTCTTCTCTCTTATTCCCGATCCCAGGGAAAAGCAATAATTCAAAAACAAAAGAGAGTAAGCAAGAGCACAAGTTACAGGGATCAATCAATCCACAAACATTTCTTCGGCACTTACTATGTGCCAGGCACTGTGCTAGGTGCTGCAGAAACAAAAAGAATGAAACAATTCCTACTCTCAAGGAACTTACATTCTACTGGGGGAGACAACAGGTACTATAAGTATGCAGTTTGGCTGGACATAGAGTTCAGGAAGGAGAGTAAAGTGCTGTGGTAAAGAGATTAAGTTTTTTCTGTTTGGTCCCAGAGGCAAAACTAGGAGCAAAAGGTAGAAGTTGAAAAGAGGTGGAATGAGATTCCTCAGGAAGTGGAGGCCTCTCCCTCATTTAAGATCTTCAAGCAAGGGCTGGATGACCATTCCTCAAGTATGTCATACGGGGGATTCCTGTTCAGGACTGGATGGTCTCTGAGATGCTTTCAAACTTGGAGCTTTTATGATTCTGGTATGTGGGGAAATGGGTAGGAGAGAGAGAGAGAAGGAGTGAATATTTACCTTGTCTCTGTTTTGTATGTGTGATGTTTACCTCTATGTGTATATACCTAAATACACACATTGTTCCCTCTATTAGCCTCCTTGAGGGTAAAAACTATTTCACTTCTGTTTTTGTATCTTTTTGTATCTTTAGGGTCTAGCACAATACTTGAGGCATCACAGGCACTTGTTTTGTTGATTAATATTTGCTGTGCAAACATAGCCTGTCACAGGTGAACAGAACTTTAGAGATTTTTTACTCCAGTGCCCTCATATTAAAGATGAGGAAAATGAGGCCTAGAGGAAGCAAGCTATTTGCCCACAATCAAGTACCAGGTAAGTGACAGAGGACCAGCATCAGGTCATAAGGGTCATACTTTAAGTAACCAAGCTAAGGTTATGTATTCTACCTAATGTGAGCTAGTTAGCATTGCTCCGGCCCATCACCACAAATTTTGCCCCTAATAATGACCAGCTTGCTCAAAAACAAGGGTGCTGTAGAGGCAGTATGGTATTGTAGAAAAGGCACTAGACTTGACACCAAGAAACTTGTGTTCAAATCTTGGTTTTGGTACAAACTAGCTGTGCGTGGCCATGGCTGGCACTGAGCCTCTCTCTAAAATAGAGATAATAATACATGTATTACAGATCTCATAGGATCCATTCCTTCACTCAATCATTTCATAAGCATTTTTAAGTGTCTACTATGTGCCAACTACCATACTAAGCACAGGGTTATTGTGGAGGAAGAGCTTTGTAAACCTTAAAGGGCTCTGAAAACTTGAGTCATCATTATGGTTGCAAAGGCAACTAGGCAAGAGAGTGTAAATGATTCAGTACTATCTTCGCCCACTATTGGAAATACTACAACTTAGGGCAGATAGATGGATGGATGGATGGATGAATGGATGGATGGTTAGATGATGGATAGTTGAATAAAACATTTATTAAGGACTTTCTATATGCCAAACACTATACTAAGTGCCAAGCAAGCAAGACAGTTCCTACCCTTGAGGACGTACATTTTAGAGGGAGAAGATGACAAAGGTCTGCTAGAAAGAGGAGGGGTAGTACCCTTATGGTAGCAGAGATGGCTGGCTAGGATGGCCCAGTCTGTGGTAGGATAAGTCAGAGCCTCAACTACCTATGCCAGGGTACCCAGAATAAAAGTCCATTGTTGTAGTGGAAGGGAGGTGAGAATCACAGAACATACTATGTTGGGTGGTAGTATCATCTTCATGTAATGAAGCCATTTATACATTATATTACAGCATTTGTCTATGCATATACCAAGCCTGTGTTTCTATCCATGCATGCGTTTGGTATGTGCCATATGGTTACAGTGGTGGCAGTTTGCATCTATTTCAATGTATTTTCATGCTTTTGTTGAGAGTAGAGCTTTTGTCTATTTTTGTTACGTGAATGTGTGTGTGTATGTGTGTGCTGGTGTGTATGTATGTACATACCTGTGCTGGTGTGGTTCAGTGAGTCAGCCTATGTCTATAGGGAGAATATGTTTAGATATGTGTTTGTGGTGTGTGGTTTGACTTTTGGGTCTAGTGCTATATTGTGACATTTCACATTCGTTCATATGCTGTATATGGAGTTATGCAGATGTTTGGTTGGGTATGTGGAGTGTGTGTGTTTGTGCAGTAGACAGTTGTGTGCAGCAGTGTGGAGTAGTAGATAGACAGCTGGTCTGGGAGTCAGGAAGACCTCTGATACCCTGGCTATGTCGCGCTGGGCAAGTCACCTGCGCTTTGTGCTGTGGCAGCTCTGTAAGTTGCAGAGCCAGTGCTAATTTGCATTGATAGAATTTTCTTGCCAATGAAAGCACCAATCCAGTCCAAGACACACAAACACATTTTAGCCAAGCTGGAACTAGCTGAAGTTGTGAGGCGACAAATTAATTTGCTGGAGGGCTGGTAGAGAGAGAGGTTAGTGTCACCTTTGGTGTAATTGCACCAGAACAGATAGCCCACCCCCCAGAGTCCAGATGGACACAAAGGAAGAAGCCCATGGGGAGTGATAGCATCTCTCTTTTCCCCATGGGCGGTTCCCTGAGGCACTTACAGTCTGCTAGTTACACCCTGGTAGCATAAGTACCTATCTGTGGAGTTGTGTATATGATTGTGTTGTGTTTATCCTCACGTGCAGTCAAATCCCATTGTAAAGCACCTGGCTCTACTGTGTGTGGATCTACTTCAATCCAATCATGTCAAATCATGTCTGTGTATATAGTAACAAGCTCTTCTCCATCTCTCACACACAGGAAGCCTACAGAACAGATGCTGCCCTTGTCCCTGACACTAGCTATGAACAGATTTTACTCAAGTTGTTGATGTGTAGTTGTGTGTGTGTGTGTGCCCACAGAGAGGCTGCTCCCCAATCCCCAACAGAGGAATGAATCACCCTGATAAGCAGGTGAGTCATTCATGAACACTTCTGATTCCTGGGGCCAGGCCGGCAGGCAGAAATCCAACGTCAGCACCCGACACCGTCAGCTCAGCCTGCCAGTCCACGGAATTACTCTACCCCACGCATTGCAGATGTTGCTGAAGAAATTGACACAGGGAGAATAAAGGCACCAAACAATCCTCTCCCCCAGCACCACTTTCAGCTCCTCCCTCTGCCTTGCATCCCATTCATCTCTCTAGTCCCTCAATCCATGGAGGCATCAATGCATATGAGTCATCTCCCTCAGCCCACTGAAAGATGGAGACATCCAACTTGTCTCTCTCAGCTATTTTTCCCCCCAGGAGCAGGGGGAGGGAGCTCTAACAAAGTCTCCATTGCAGCCAGGAAGTTGGGAGGAGGGAGGGGAATGACAAGCATGGTTGACTGAGTCCTTGTAGATCTATGCCCTGGTTAGGATTGGGAACTGAATTGTGGGGAGAGAGGGCGCAGTTCAGCTTGGAGCTATTAAAGGGATAGGCGTGGGGGTAAAGGGACAAGCTGGTGCAAGCTAGGCCTTCAGTAGGAGGGACTTAGGCTTGTAAAGCAGATCAAGGGGACAAACACCGGGGGCAGCAGGGAGGAGTTGGGGTTGAGTGGCTTTGCCAAGGAGGGAGTTATAGGGCCCCTACCACCACCCACTGTTGCCGGGTAATGAGAAGAGTGGACAGCCTGGGAGCTCCCTAAAACAACTTTCCATTGTCTTGCGGTAAGCTTGGGGAGCTATGACACATGGCTTCTAATAATAGCTCCTATTTGCATAGCACTTTATGGAAGCTCCTTGAGGACAGGACTAAGGCTCAGGTGGCACAGTGGATAAAGCACTAGACTTAGAGTCACAAAGGCCCTCATTCAAATCCTTTCCCAGACACTTACTAGCTGTGTGACCCTGGGTGAATCTTAAAACCAAACCAAACCAAACCAAAAAACACAACCCTTTTCATGCCTCAGTTTTCTTGTCTGTAAAGTGAGGGGATTGGATTTTTTGACCTTTTAGGTTTTTTTCTACCTCTAGATTTGTGATCCTATGTTTTTGCCTTTCAGTATATCCCCAGTGCTTAGATCAGTATCTGCTACATAGTAAACACTTAATAAATGCTGACTAATTAACAAAAATACTGCACTTTCTTCATGTCAACACAAGTAGATATTGTTCAGTCATTTCCAACTTTTTGTTACCCCATTTGGGGTTTTCTTGGCAAAGATATTAAAGTGATTTGCCATTTCCTTCTCCATCTCATTTTATAGGTGAGGAAACTGAGGCAAACAGGGTTAAGTGACTTGCCCACGGTTACACAGCTAGGAAGTGTCTGAGGCTGGATTTGAACTCATGAAGAAGAGTCTTCTTGACTCCAGGTCTGGCACTCTATCCACTGTGCCACCTAGCAGATAAAGCAAATATTATTATTATCCCCATTTCACAGATAAGGAAACAGATTCAGAGATTGTGACTGTCTAAAGATCACACAGCTAGCAAGTGTTGGAGGTGGGATATGAACCCAGTTCTCCTAGTTCCAGGTCCAAAGCTCTTTCCACTATACTTCACTGCCTCAATCAAGTGTCCCTCAGGAGCTTTCTCTCCTATCTTCTGACTGTAGATCAAGTGTCAGCATCTGCTTTTTCTCCTTGGAGAAAATGAGTCATCCTGAGGAAGAGACTAAATAAGTGGAGGACTGGCCTAAAGTCTTTGTCTCCACTATTTCTCTAGTCTATAATAACTTCCCCTTTCCCTTCTGTATTTTCAAATCCTACCTTTCTTTAGGGTCCAGTTCAAGTCTCACCTCAAAGTCTGTGAAGCCTTTGCTTTAAATATTTCCCCCAGAAATCAAAAGGACCCTCTCATTTTATTATATTTTTTTCCCTTTAAGCAATTTTTTTACATCACTATCACTGTCCAATAATCCCCCTCACAATAGAATAAATCTGTATAGTCAGGTCCAGATTAGTGTGAATAATGAATCCTCTGAAGTAGTTACATGTATTTGAATTCACACTTATTTGAAATTATAATTATGTAAAATATAGTAATTGGTTCCACCACAATGGAAATATATGATATGAATTTCAATAATGAGACCATTTTAGGGGATTCATAATTCGAACTAGTTGGGACCTCTTTGTATAGTTAAGCAGTGGTACAGTGGATAGAGTGCTAGACTTGAAATCAAGAAGACCTGAATTCGAATCCTGACAGATGCTTACTAGGCTAATTTCCTCATCTGTGTAATAAAGGAGCTGACTGGATGACCTCTTCAGTTTCTTCCAAATGAGATAATATTTGGAAAGCCCTTAGCATAGTACTTAGATACATAGAAGGTGCTTAATAAATGCTTGTTTTCTTCTTCCAGCTCTAAATCTGTGATTCTGCATAATCCATGCATTGCCCATACCTGACTCCTTCCATAACTCTGCCAGCCACATCACTGCTGAAGGGCAGGAGACATGCTTTGCCATCCAATCTTTTGAAGTCTGTGAAGAATTTCTTGATGGTCTATAGTGATATATTCTTACTCTGAAGATCTATTCCATTTATAGTTAGTACATCAATTCAATTAAACAAATATTTATTAAACTATATTGTGTATGGAACACTGCTAGGTGCTACATGAGATACAAAATTAGAATAATATATGGTCCCTGTCCTCATAGAGCTTATAGTCTAGTAGGAAGATATGAAATATACATAAATGCCAGTGTTATGAAATAATACACAATTGGTATATTAGATTGGTTAAAGAAGTTATATGAGGAGCACGGACCCTGGAGTCAGGAGGACCTGAGTTCAAATCTGGCCTCAGACACATAACATTAGCTATGTGGCTTACATAATACTTACTAGCAATGTGACTTTGGCCAAGCCACTTAACCCCAATTGCCTTGCCAAAAAAAAAAAAGTTATATGAGGGTACAGGCATGCCTAGGTGAGGATGCAGAATATGGACATTTTCAATTCTGCAATGCAGCTGGGACAGAGTTAAAATTGTGGTAGGGTAACCTGATATTTCTGGTCTTCAATCTCTGCTGTATTTTGTCATTCCTCCATGGGATAATTATATTTCTTGCTGTTTTTATGAGCTCCTTGAGGGCAAGGACTGTGTTTTTACCTTTCTTTGGATCCTTAAGCATTTAGCACAGTGCCTGGAATATGGTAAGTGCTTTATAAATGATTGTTGACTGATTTTTATAAATGCTTGTTGACTAATTGGCTTTTTTGTGTGTCTATATATTTTTCTCTTCTCCAGTGCTGTCTCTACCAGAATTCTAAAATACTTGAATCAGGATTTTCCAGTATTGCCCCCTAAGGCCATTTAAGTGGTAGAGGATTTCCTTAAAGACCTATGGGACCTTGCCACCAAGAGATGTAATGTTTTAGGAACAACATCTACTAAGACTGGAAAATCCCTGCCATGTAGTCTAAGCTAGTTTATCTCTGTAAGGCAATAAAGCTGTCCTTGAAACTTATTTGTCTCAGGGGACTAAGCTTGAATTGTTGAAATAGCTTTTATAGTGACCTAATACATAAAAACCCCAGCAAAAGAGAAGGGGTCCTCAGGCCTGATGGACACCTTGCTGCCATTCTAGTCAACACACCTGATGGGTTATGTCTCAATATATAGTGGTGGGGAGATGTATCAAACTGAAGTAATAGTATATTTTTAAAGATTATCCTTTCCGTGCTCTTGTCAAGTAAAGTTCATTTTGTAAATTGTTATTTGAGGGGCAGCTAGGTGTTGCAGTGGATAGAGCTCTAGCCTTGGAGTCAGGAGGATCTGAGTTTAAATCTTGCCTCAGATAATTGACATTTACCAGCTTTGTGACCCTGGGCAAGTCACTTAACCCAGATTGCCTCACCAAAAAAACCCAAACAACATTATTTGGTCTACAGATATTTTATTTCATTCCAAACCTAAGCTGAACTACCAGGCTGGACTAAATCAGGCCTGGCCCAAACAGTAGGGAAACCAAGGTGCTTGAAGTAGCAGCAGGAGGAGAGAAGCAAGGAATGTTTACAGTGATAACTTTGAGTGAAGTATTTAGGACCAGGGCCATAATAGGGGTGTTTTGTTTTCAATATTTATAGACCTGAGAACTGGCCACCTCTGCCAACAGTAAATTCTTAGTCCCTTTGCCTAACTCTCCTGCCTATTTCCTTTGGTTTCTTCAGTTTGAGTTTGAATGTGCTTATGGAGATAGAATGGGGGACCCCAACAGGAATGCATCTTATGGTTGCTGTAAGAGATCCTAGGTCCCTATGGTTCATTATTCTTGGGTAGAAAAGGAATACAGAAAAGCTGGCATGACCACACCTTAGAGCCTAAATATGGAAAGAAATAAGGAGGTCCTACCCTGGTTTGGCATTGGCCTGGATGTAGGCCCATATAAGTTTCCTCTTTCGGATATGGAGGATGAAATCTCTGAACCTCCCCCCCACCTCCATCCTAGTAGTTGGGTGGCATCATAGTACACAGAGTGCTTGGCCTAGAGTCAGGAAGGCTTGAGTTCAAATCCTGAGTCAGACACTGGCTTTTTTACTTTGGGCAAGTCACTTAACTGCTGCCTGCCTCAGTTACCTCAACTATAAAATGGGGATAATAACAGCACCTACCTCACAGGGCTGTTGTGAGGATCAAATGGGAAAATATGTCAAGTACTTAACACAGTTCCAAGCAAGTGCTTATTCTCCTTCCTTCCCTTCTTGAGTCATTGCTCTAACTGCTATCAGGAACAGAATTGTCTCTTGAGATAATATCAGAGTTTAAGCACTTTGGTAGGATGGGGAAGGGGCCAGAATTCTGTTGAGGGGATTCACTAGATGACTACCTGAGGTCACTTCAGACTCTAAGATGCTATGATTCTATAAACTTCCTGACTGAGCCATGTTGGCACATTTCTGTAGTACCTGCTGCTAAGGAGGCTGGGGCGGGCAGATCATTTGAGAGGTAGCAGTTCTGAACTGCTATAGATCTAAAGCCAATTGGGTATTTACACTGTCTGGCATCCATATGGGGAGTCCCTGGAATCAGGGGGCCACCACTGCCTAGAAAAGGGTGAACAGGTCCAGATCAGAATAAAATGGAGTAGGTTAAAACTTCTGTCCCGATCTGTATTGGGATCAGTCTCTGAATGGATGCTGCACTTCCAGCCTGGGTGAATAAGATAGAGAGACAAATAAACAAACAAACAAATAAATAAATAAAATTAAGAAAAACAACAAACTGACAGAATCTCCTCCATTCAGGGGTAAGAATTTTCTATTCTTTGCATTGGACTAGAGTTAGGAGATCTGAGTTTGATCTTCTTACTGTCTATTTCTACTTGATCAGAAGTTTATATTGAATTGAGGGAATGTCCATCGATTGAGGAATGGCTAAACAAGTTGTAGTATATGATTGTGAAGGACTACTACTGTGCTATAAGAAATGATAAGCTGGTTGGTTTTAGAAAAACATGGAAAGACTTGCATGAAATAATGAAGATTGAAATGAGCAGAACGAAGAGAACATTGTACACAGTAACAGTAATATTGTTCTAAGAACAAATTTGAATGACTTAAGTAATTTTGAATATTATAAATACTCAAATCAACTACAAAGGACCTGTGAAGGAAGACGCTATCCCCATCCAGAGAAACAACTGATACACATATACGTATATGTATGTGTGTGTGTGTGTGTGTGTGTATATATACATATACACACATATATATATATATATGTATGTATGTATGTATGTGTATTTGTGTCTAATTGTAGTTTTCTCTGGGGCAGAATGAGGAGAGAGGGAGAAAAATAAATAAAAAGTACATAGCAGAGAACAAAAGAATACTTAGAAGTGCAGAAAAGCAATGTAGCTTTGAAAATGATGTCTAGTATTTATGACATAGTTTTGCAAAAAAAAAGTAAGCAGTATGAAGTAAAAATGCATGGTTTTATATTGAATCCTCTTTTGTGTACATAGAAATATTCTCTCTTTTTTTGGTCTTTTTATACTTAAGTTTAAAATGAATACATATTTTTTTAAAGAGAAGTTTATAGTAAGTCAGTGGGTAATGGGGAGTCAATGAAGATTACTGAGTAGAGGAATCACATCACGAGAGAGACCTCAATTAGGAAGTTTACTCATGAAAGTAGTGTAAAAGATGGATTGGAAAAGAGATAAACTAGATGAAAGGATCTAGGACAGAGCTATATAGGTGCTCAGTACTCACTGGTTGACTGAAATATCTGAGACCAACCATGTGTATGGTTACATGTGTATGAACGTGTGTCTGTGTGAGTGTGGGTGTGGCTATAATTGAGGAAGAGATAGCATAGAGGAAGATTAAAAAAAAAAAAGGATCTACAGATTCTCCCATATCCAGTCAGTTGGCAAGTCTATCTTCTTCGGCAATTGGGTTAAGTGACTTGTCCAGGGTCACACAGCTAGTAAGTGTCAAGTGTTTGGCCTTAGGCGGCATTTGAACTCAGGTCCTCCTGACTTCATGGCTGGTGCTGTATCCACTGTACCACTTAGCTGCCCCTCCATCTTCTCAATATCTCACATCTAGCCCTTTCTGTCTACAAGGCAACCACCCTCCTGCATTAAATCTCACTTAGATCAGGGGTTCTTAATCTAGGGTCTAGGGGTCTGTGGATAGATTCCATGAGGTCTTTGAACTTGGATGGGAAAAAAAAGAAAAGTGTATCTTTATCTTCATTAATCTTTGATTTCCTTTGTAACAATATATTTCATTTTAGTCATTTAAAGATATTTTGAAAAAAGGTCCACAGGCTTCACCAGACTGCCCAAGGGGTCTGTGGTACCAAAAAAGGTTAAAAACTCTTGCATTTGCACTACTGTAACATAGTTTCATAGCTAGGTGGCACAGTGGATAGAATCTGGCCTCAGACTCTTCCTAGCTGTGTGACCCTGGGCAAGTCACTTAACTCTGTTTGCTTCAGTTTCTTCATCTGTAAAATGAGCTGGAGAAGGAAATGACAAACCACTCCAGTATCTTTGCCAAGAAAACCCCAATATGGGGTCATGAAGAGTTGGACACAACTGAAAAACTGAAATAGTTTTACTTATTTTAAAGAAATGTATCTTACGCATATCATTTATAACAAGGTAGCTACAAAATTGCTTTATGTCTTCCTTTTATATTTTTTGTTTCCCTCTACGCCTTTAAAGAAATGTTTCAGGGGCAACTAGGTGGCACAGTGGATAGAACCCTGGCCCTGGAGTCAGGAGGCCCTGAGTTCAAATCTACCTTAAGATAAACTTACTAGCTATATGACTCCAGGCAAATTATTTAACCCCAATTGCCTCCCAAAATAAAATGAGGAAATGTTTCAGTGATGCTGTCTTTTGGTTGCATGTTTATCAGTGCCCACAAGGAAAAATATTCACTTGTAATAAATAGGTATCATCAAGAAAAACCAAATCAACATAGCAGCCATATTTCTGAAATCTACCCTCCTTCCCAGGCCTGTTGGTCTTTCTCACTCATATTACCCGTAGAAGCATTCCATCTCCTGCCCCTGTACCTACGTAATCAGGGGATTTTACCTAGACCTGGATACTCTTCAAAAAGACTTTCCTGATTTCCCCAGTTACTACTCCTGGTTCCCCTACTTCCATCACTTTGTATTTATTTTGTATATGTAAGGAAGGCAAATTAAGTTCGGAGGTATTGGATATCTTAGAACCTATTTATGAAAGCTGATAGTTAAATTTTCAATGTGAGCATTTACCCCTTGGAAAAATGCTACTCATTTATTGTTTTGTTCTTTATTTAGG